TGTTAGAGGAAGCTGAAGTGGGGAAGTGGAGGACTCAGGCCAGGTGAGAGTGTCCTACAGCACAAGCTGGAAGGTGATGGAGGCCTGAAGACTTCCCGTGTCCACTGGCTCAGGCTCTTCAGAAGTTGTTGATCCCGTTATCCATGGTCAGGCTCTCTGGGATGAATGGAAGGCGGGAGGCTCATGGCAGAAAGGTGGACACACGCAACACCCTCACGGTGCAGTCCAGCACAGAAGCTTGATGGACACAGAAAACAGAAGGGAATTCGCATTAACAACCAGCTTGCTGCTCTATTAGAGGTGCTGAAACACGTGGATATATCCTAACCCATGCCAGGACTGATCCTCAGGGAACTACAACTACCTATTCTCTGCTAGGAATACATAAGTCATACATATCATTACCCAGTTTGACTATGTTTTTACCTGCTCTGTTGTAGTACTTTGACAACATGGGTTGTCCAGAGCTGTCATTTTTGCCAGCACCTCCTGCTGCTTTCTCAGGCACATGAAAAGCTCTGTGGCGATGCCTGGGCTGCACACCTGGCCCACTATCATTAAAAAATCCATCCCTCACATCAAAACCGTGGATGGAATTATGCATATCATTCCCAAATCTTGTGGCTCGCACTAACTCCGTACAAACACCAATCTGTGGAATTCAGGGAGTGGTGCTCAGAGCCTGAGCCCCAAAATCAAGCCTTGAGGCTCTGCTGAGATTCCTGACTTCCAGGTAGGAATGAACAACAAGCTGAGTCAGCAATCAGCAAGCTGTTCTCAGAGCCTCTGCCTGAGTTATGGTTCCCAAAGCTCCTGGGTTTCCTTGTGAGAAATATGTAAATAAAAATAAATGAGTGCATTATTGCTAGTTGCTTCTTCACTAAAACACTATGCAAGAACAGCAATTATTTTCCAGTTGAAAATGGAGCTCTACACTTTTGTGATGGCACTGCCATTTTAAGGATTGCAAGCTCACCAGAGGCAGGTTCCTCCTTTCATTACTACCCTATTTCCCTTTCAAAACAAAAGTTACACTAGTTACTATTGTAACAGCCTGCATATAATCTGCTGAGAATAAATACCCATGTAATGAGCCTGAAATGATATGGTAATTTCTTAATTCAAAATAATTACATGGTTATTTGTGCCCTCTAAAATAAAGTATTACTTACTCAGCCCAAACAAATTGCTGTTTGCCCAGGTTTTGAACTCTGGTAAACAGTAGCAGAGCAGTCATCTGCATATAGAATCCTGAGACAATTTTATGTCAGATGTTTACTTACACAGAAACAGAAACAAATATTTGTCAAGGCAACAAGCAGATTTTCGTACAACCAGGGGAAAACCAGCAGAAAGCCCTTGGAAATAGGACTGAAAACACGGCCAAGACAGAGTGCTACAAGGGCACCAGCTGGCTCAAAGTCACCAAGGTGCCCTCTAAAACATCTCACAAGCTTGAAAATGTTAGATAAGAGGATGGGAATTGTTTGGTTTATTTTGGCTTGGTGTTTGTGTCTGAGTTGAGTGCCTACCTCCCTGTGCTGCCTGGAGATACAGATAGGGCAGCCACCACATGAATGCAGACTGGAAGGAAGGAAAGGAGGAGTGAGGGCAGACAGACCTTCAAGCCATTGATTCCAGCCAGCTTTCCTCAAGTCAAAAAAGCAGCTTCCACTGGCTTTGAAGAAGGCTGAGGAGGCCTAGGTTTCAGAGCACTGATAGAATATCTAAAAATCATCTCATTCTGAGCAATAGCAGAAGGCTTTCCACTGATGTGAATAATGTGAGCTTGGAGCCATGGATACTTGTGACCACTGACTTCTCAAAGATAATTCTCTGCTCTCTCAGACTGGAAAAAGGACTGTTAAGGAAGGGCTTGGAATTGGACTGATGCTGCTTTGTGGATAAAGGTAGAGCCCTTCAACACCCAGGGTGGAGATCAAGTACCTCACAGACACCCTTTGAGTGAACCACGAGTGGAATAAATTGAGTGCACTACTTTTCATCTGAGGTGATTAAATATTTGAGCCTCGAATGCAAATTAAATTCACACTTGATTTTATACTCCTGTATTACACAGGTACTCCTCCTCTATTTTGCTTGTCACTTGAACACATTGGATTGAGTTGTATACCTGCATTTATATTTTTGGAGACTTTGCTAAAAGAAGAGGACCTATATGCAAGATCTGCATGCAGTTTCCTACTTCCAGGGGAAAAAAAAATAGTGAAATCAGCTGAAATCTGGTCTATCCCAATTAAGTACGTCTTGGCTGAGAAATAAAACTCAATTTTTCCACTTAAAAAACAGGCATTTTGAAGAAGCCAGATTTTCAGAGGCTCACAGATCACAAAGAAATAATACAGGTTTTTTTACAGATGTTTTCAACCTACAACATGGTGATCCAAAAGGTATGATGAATCATGCAGAACCACTGCTTTGCTTCCAGAAGCATCTTGGGTCTGCTAACAAGTCACCTGCTGTTCTAAACCTGTAAGAAAGAAAATTATTGTATATTTTCTGCTAACATATATGCAAAAATAGCAAAACTTTGCATGACTTCAGTGGTAGAATTCCTTTTTATGCACAACTTAAATTTGTTATTTCAGCATCAAGTATCTCTTACTCTATTTGTATATTATAGTTGGACTATTCCAGTATTTTCACTTAGCATTCTTGCTGCTGAAAAATCATGATAGTACTCTTTGCTGCGTTTGCTGAAGGTGTTAAAAGTGTAATTTGGAACACCTGACCTTACAAGAAAAATCGCAGCTTGTTATAGTATCAATAGAGTCATTGTTAAGATCCCTCAACACAGTGTTTTGCATTGTTTGAAAACAAGCTGCATTTAAGAGTGCAGCATAACACTGTGTGCTACAGCATTTAATTATTATTTTTTTCCCAGAAACCATTTGGTTTTTTTTCTCTCCTTATTTGTATTTCTTATGGCTCAGGATGTAGATTACATGCCCTGAAAGGTTGTCTCCCTGGAAGCAGTTTTCTGGTTGTTTTATCCTATACACCCTTCCTACAGCCAAGTGCCTTCAGGCTGCTTTGTACTCTTTAATGCCAGGTCAATTTAATTCAACCTTGCTCTTTGCTAAGGTTGCCTTGCCATTCTGTGTACCAGTATTGTTTTAGGTGCTCTTCATGCTAAATAGTTGCAATAGTTTTCATGAGGACATTATGAAGCTCTCTATAGTTTTCTATAGAGATTCTCTAAGCACCACAGAAGAAAAAAACCCAACAACGACAGGGTTCAGCATTCCAAATTCTGATTCTAGTAGCAGTGCATGCAGGTGCTGTTGCCCATTTTGAGTGATGATGTCCAGATTACCTTAAACAGATCAGCTAAAATTTTGGCTTTTATTCTAATGTAGGTGTCATTATATCCACTCGAATAAATTTATTTATCCATCTCAATGATATTGCTTGTTTCAGCTTGTTTGGTTTTAATTCAGGCCTGAGCTGCTCTGTAATCATTTGTTCAAGTTTATGACATTACACACTGTTGACTAATACCTTCATTTTGCTGAGTTTCCATTTATTACTGTCACTATTACAGCAGGATTTAAATTTTTGTAACCTGCCTATCCTAGCATGAATCTCATTTCATTGACGTTTAACACCGATCCTGAGGGCTCCTCTTTGACTGTTTGTCACCTAAGGAGCAAATACTTTTGCTGCTGACTTTTAAAATCAATTATAATCTTGCAGGATTTGGCTGAGAGGATAACCCAAAGTGAAAGGCAGGGAGTCTTAAGAGAGAGAGTTTCCCAATGCATTATATAAGATTGATTTTCCACGGGCAGAAACAAAAGGTCAGCTAAAGGGGAAAAAAAAATAAACCAAAAGCCACACAAAAAACCCCCAATCTAGAGTCAAGTCTTTTCTATGATACCTGAAAAATATGCATAAATCTGTTTTTCAGTCACTGAGTTTTAGGATTTGGTATAAAAGAGAACAGCACCACAAAGTGCCAGAGGGATGCTGTTGAAAACCACGTGCACAAGTTCTCTTAAAGGGCATGTACTGCAGGTACCACCTGACAAATGCTAAACAGGCTGGGATGATCACATCTCTGCTACTAAAAGAAAAAAATATTGAATACCCATCATTAAATCCCTTTATTTAACCTAATGTGACAAAAATAGAAACTTAAAATTGAATTAAAACACAATTTACCATTTCAACAACAATATCCCTCTCTCTGCTTTCCAATATTCGTAGTTTCATTAATTGGGTCTGAGCTAAATCTCCAAGTTCAATAAAAAAAATTGAGGCAAACTGAAATACTGTGCTAGGTGATTTTCCATCAACAGATAAATAGATAAATGCCTTCTCTTTCAGAGTTGTTCCTTGTCTGTATAAATGACAAATACAGATTAATGGAATCCTCAGAAAAAGAACAATATGGTAACTTAATGGAATGAGCAAACGTTTTCTTGAAACTACCCTTTCACACAGAATTAAGAATAATTCTTCTTTGAATTCCCAGCAGGTACATACATTTGCCTCCCACTCTGAATTAGGCTGAAAAGGTAGTGAATTTGAAAACTGTTAGAGGAATTACTCACGTATGGATAAGCAGGAGGGCCACTAAAACCAGATTAAAACTAAATATATTTTAAAGGCGGATTTTAACAACATCCCAAATAATCCCATAAAACAGATATTAAAATGCACGATCTTGCCCAGCAATTCTCAGTGACTGCTGTTGTTTGATCAATAATAGGGAAGAAGCTGGGGGAAAGGCAGAGCCAGAAAGTAGGAAAACGTGATGGGGAAGCAACTCCGGGGAAGGTGGAAGAGCTGCAAATAGAAAACTTGCAGGAGAAGTTAAGGACCAGGCCAGATGGGCTGGCAGAAAACACTACCCAGAGAAGCCCAAGGTAATATAATTGCTTAACTGGTGAGCATGTCTGAGCCAGGAGCTGCAGGATTGCCCTTTACTTGCCTTTCCAAGCTGCACGTTGCTACAGGTAACTTCAGCCCTTCTGCTCTTCGGCTTCTCCTTCCCACACTGAGAATCTCCCCATTATCGAGAAAATAGTCGTTACAGGAGCAATCCAGCAGTTCCTGGGAGACACAGGGTGACCTTTTCAGATGCATATATTGACAGAGAATTCAATTTCTGAGCTATTAGCACATAATTTTACCTAAAAACTATGGCTGGAAATATTTTCTTAATGTCAAAATTTTCTTCAGAAAATCGAGTATTGGGTTTGTTTTAACCAAATTGAAGCAATTTATTATATTAAACAGTTCAACACGTTTTGCTTTAAAATCAATGATTGCCAACTGCATTTTTTTTTAGAATACTTTCTTCTGGGAATTCAGACATCTTTAGCATAAGTGAACAAGACCTTCAATTTGCTGCAGAGTTGTGTATGTCGTTATCTAGCTACACATATTCCAATTATTTCATCCTGGGAGGAGCAGTTCTCAGCCCCACAGAGAAAATTGGAGGTCAGGCAATAATGGCAGTAGAAAGGCTGAGCAGTTCACGACCAAAAGAAAAGGAACCAATTCAATTGCAGGAATGCAGTGTTTTAGTGCAATCAAAAATGACCCCCCAAAAAATGTCATTATTTCCAAATCAATGTTCTTTGAAGGCAGGTGTTACAACTTTGCCTTCTCTGGAAACAAAAGCAAACACTGAAATATCCAAAGGGAGGAAAATGTGCAATTTCTTCTCATCTGCTTGTGCCTGCTCCCCATTTTAAGACACAGCCTAAATAATGGAGACTAAAAGGTTAAAATGGTTAAAAAGTTATTATTTGAGCTCCACGGTAAAAGTTACTGTGACAGACATAAGTCTAGGGAACTCTGCCAGTGCAATGAATGTCTTATTTGGGGTACAGTGTTTGTGATTGAAATCGAAATACAAACAAACATATTTATAATGTAACTGTTCATGTACCTACAAGGCACTAAAAGCAAAATCAGAAAGATGTCCTGTCATCAGAGCTCAGCATTAATTTATTTTTCGATTCCAGTCAATTTGTTATCACAAATGCTCTCAATTAAAATGTTTTATTTGATACAGGGTGAATTTAAACAATCTTTTTTTATTCTGGTGATAGAGATGCACTTAGCAGCATATAAAATAGTGATTTAATGGGTACTTAATGGTCTGAAGCTCTAAACGAACAAATCATAAATTAAGGCTTTTGTAGCCTTTTATGCTTTCCCATTTGGATCCTAAAAAACCAATTTGCATTCATTATGTAGGTCTAATATACAGTACCTTGCCTTCCAATGACATTCAGCTGCATCCCAATATTTGCCCCCACAGTATGACTGACACTGTTACCTTAGGAAGAGCTTCTAGTTTAAGGTCTGGGACACAATCTTTCCTTGCCAAGGGTGGACAGAATGGTTTCAGACTCCTCCAGGTGACTCTGAAATTGCTGTAATATCCAGATTGCGAGCAACCACTGACAAAAAATCCATTTCTTTGTCTGCAGTTCACTTCATAATTTCAGACCAGTCAGTAGGGAGGGATTTTTGCAACCCTATGAAAACTGAGCAGAGAACCTTGATAAGTAAATAAGTTTGCGGTGAGACTATACGAAAGAAATTCCTTCTCAAAATTTAACCTTAAAGGAAAATGTAACTCCTTTGCTTTTTTCTTAAATATTTTACCTGTGTCCAAGAAGCCTGAAGTGCTTTTGTGTATGTCTTTCACATCTGATATGTGCTGTAGAGAACCCAGCAGTCTCAAACGGCAGCACCTTCCCAGCATGGAAAAACCTTAAAAAATGGGGTCTGAAGAAAGAGGAGTTTGTTTGTTTGTGGGTTTTTAACCTACAATTACACCTATCATAAGGTTCTTTTTTGCCTCAGAATACTCTGTGGCTGGAGGGAACCAGAGCTGCCTTGTTGAGGTGCCATTTATGCATTTACTTCTATGTATAAGCAAATATTGCTACTTGCTGAGACACTGTGATTAACGACACATCAGTAATGTAGCAACTGGGAAAAAGTTAAATTAAAAATAACATAACACACATACACTTTATGTGAGAATGTAAAGATTCATGTTGAGTTAAACACATAATTTTTAGATAAAAAATATTTACCAAAATATGTAATTCAGTGCACTCTACAAGCAGAAAGAATTTTAATGCTACTACCAAACCAAAAATAATTTTTCTAACAATTTTAGTCTTTTTCATGTTTTTTTCCCCTCTTCTCAACACTCTGTGCTATTACCTTTCTCCTTCCCACTAATATCTGCCAAGGAGGCACTTGCAGCTGGTCTCAGTGGTGCCCCAAAAACAGGGCCTGGCCATTTGTTGATCCATAATGTGGCGTGTTTGCATTTCCCCCTCTGTCCTGCATCGTTAGCACTCACTGTATTTTTACAGGCACTGTCATCTCTAGGTCATTTCAGTCACTTCTGCCTCCTGTGCAGCTTCCTCCCATGAAGGGCCCAGGTTTGCAATAATTCTCTCCTAACCAATTGCTTTTGGAAGTACCATATTGCATTTCTTTTTGTGCTCGCCCTCAGGTCCATTTTCAGCTTTTTCCATCTTGCAAAGCCTAACAGGGTTATATAATGACAATATTAGTATCTCAAATGGTACCTGAGAGCTTACATCCTCATATTGTAAAGCTTTATTATATTTTTTAAAAATAAAAAAGAAAAAACCCCCTTTTAATATCACGTAAATTTAGATGTGAATCCTCTGGCACAAAAAAATTCGTCCAGCTGCCCCTGGGACTGTCAGTACAGTAAACAGATGGCATCAACAAAACAAAATCAACCACATAATTCCCCACTTTTCAGGGGAAAAAAAAAAGGCAGCAGCAGCATCTCATGCATTCTGCAAACCTACTAATACTAAAATTTGATTAAAAAACCAAAACCAACCAAAAACCACCCCAACAAACCTTATCATTATACCTTCGGAAATCGATCTGCTTACACTCTTCATATTTTTGTCATCTTTTAGGGACTTTGATATTTCAAATGAACTGGTCTATGGTAGCCTGCAAAGAAAGATATTTGTACAAAAATCAAGTGCCCTCAACTTCCTTCATACAAATTCACTATAAATGGTCCTTTAAATGTTCTGACTAGTGTTCACGAACTTTTGCTGAATTCATATATCACAAATACTGGTACAAACTTAATTATAGATGTGACAGGCTGAACTACTATAGGGGTGTTAATGCACACCAATCCTGGAAATTAGTTTTCTGTAGAGGTTAAAGCTTAAAACACTTTTTACAAAGAGAAAGGCTAACTGCATATTTTGTGGTTTGCACCTCCATCACCAGACAGGTTTCCAGATCACATCTGTATGGTGTTCTTCACATAATACAGAGGATTAACTCTAAAAGACCCCAAACTTTCTTTGGGTTATCTCAAGATCCAGGTTATATGGAGACTTGTTTTAAAGCACTGGAATGTGTCAAAGTGGGGGTTTTTTTGACATGTGGGGTTTATGCTCCTGAAATATTGCAATTACCACAGCAAACAATCCCTGGTGACTGAGAAAAGCCAAAGCCCAGTTAACATGCAAACAGTCCCATTTATTGATTTACCAGAAAGTGACTTGAACTCTCTCACTGACTCCTTTTGCACACTAAATATTACTATGTTTTGCATGGTTTAAAAGCACCATTTTTGTCTCTCAAGTTGTTCATGAGCTAATAGAAAATATCACTTAAGCCTTACCTTAACTTTAGACCAGGTTCTTTCTGAAACAGTTGTGCATCCTGCACTCAGGGGAATCCAACTTCCCTGGCTTGATCTTGTTCCAGCACAGTCAGACCATGCCTGGGAACTCCTCCCTGGTTCTACAAGACAAAATCCTGGCTCCAGAAGTATTTTGGCAAGAAATTCTAGAAATCAAGAAAGCTTTGCAGGAAAAAAAAAGCTTTTTCATTTAAATCTTCAATATCACTATTTAATTGCAAGTTCTTTACCAAACACTCTTTCATGCAAGTCCATTTGCATTTTTCTGCTAAATATTGTTTCAAAACAGGAATAAGAATGTTCTAAGAAGGCTTCAGACACAAGAATGCTAGAAAGCCAATGAATACTTTCAAAACTGTCCAGGATTAATATAAACATAAATAAGAAACAACAAAATGCTCCAGTGTAAAGTTCTGACCAAGAACTGTATCAACCACATCATGGATTTGTGAGCAGGCATTGAGCAGCAAAGAATACAAAAAGCATTTCAGCTCTTATTTAGCTACATGAAAAGAAAAACAGCTTATTCATGTTTGAATCCTTAATCTTGTCAATATTTGCTGTTTCTGAGACATAGAAACATACAGAAATAACGAGATGTTATTTTGATACTTATGGTGACATCAACTCTCCACTAATCAATGGAAAAAATTAATCATCAGTGATGAAAATATTCATTCCTCGGTGTATTGAAGAAATATCACTGGGAACAGATTACAGCATCATGCTGCATACATTATACTATTATAGATTTCCACAACACCAGGTAAATGTATGAACAAGATAATTTTTACAGGCTGTATTTAACATTTACTTTGTCATTTATATTGTGTGATTTGGAGATTTCATTAAACGCAAACTGTGGGTACAAACATATATGAGTTAAATACACATGTACCTAAATATCAGTGGTTTAGAGTTTTACATTGTCAATTTTTAGATTTCTATGTTATCAGTGTTTACAGTACAAGAGAGAACCATCCTAGTAGCTCTACATCAGAAGCTTTAAACTAGTTAAAAACTGGTTTTGGTTGTGTTTTATACTAACATTAACATTATTTTTTTTCCAAAGGGTAACATTTGGGCAAACAATTGGTATTGTATTTCATAAAAGGTATAAGAAAGCCACCAGTTTCCCAGTTTTTACATGTCATCATATAAATTAACAGCCAATTAAAACAAAAAACTACTGATACAACAGTTCAAAAGCAGAAATCATAGAACTATCTAAAATATTCTGGAGCGTTTACAAATGATAACTGCCTAAAAATGATCAGTACAAATATTATTCACACACACAAGAAAACACAATAAATAAAATTACTCTTCAGAGTTCTGCATGTGTTTCAGTCTTTGGGAGACTGTTACTAAAATTTTGTTATATAACTTTTTTTGAAAAACAGAATCTGACATGAATACTGGAAAATTTTTAGAAATTATCTAAGAATTTGGCTGATACAATTTTTAACACAGATTTTAATATCAATATTAATGACACAGCTTCTGTAAAGGAAGTCCTGAGTTATCTTCAAATGAGTAAATAGAAACAGAAGCATCTTTAAAAAAATATAATATTGTTCATCACAATCCATTATTCAATTAGGGGGTGTGAGGTTGCTTTACATTCACTACCCACTAAATAAGTTTTATTTCAGTGCTTACCACTTTTAGTGTTGTAAAAGAAAACATAAATATACCCTTTGTTTCAAAAGTTACTGATTACCATGTAAAGATGGAAAACCCCCAAATATTTAAAAAGTTATATCATCCTCCTCCTGTCCCTTTGTAAGGAGTAACTGAATTTAGAGATAGTGTCAAAGTAAGTTCCCGATTTAAACAGACAACTAAGGAAAATGCAATTAGACATTTGAATATAAAATTCCCGTCCAGTCTTGATGTTGCTGTATTGTCAAAAAGAAAATTGTTCTTCTACAGAACTCTAAAATCTGCACTCAGAGCAAGGGAGAGAATATGCTGAGCAACCAGCAACAGATGCACTGAGCTGGATTTGATTTATTTGGGGAGCTACACAATCAGATAAAGTGTTTGGGATCAGAATAAGCACCTTCTTCAAGGAGCCTGCACAGTGTGCACTGTGATTTTGTACCTCCAAGTGTTATGAAATGGCATCTGACAAGCATTAGGCTCCATTTTTCATAAATATTATTGATAGTTCTTTCCTCAGTGATTACTTCCCGCAAACCTCGAGTGAATGGAAATGAACAGACTTGCAGACAAGCCATGACTAAAATTTTTCGTGAGGTTTACATAAAGCAGGTGCTTAGCAGTGAAAAGACACATTTAATAGAAGCTCCAGGAATATTTCTTTATTCACAAGTCCTTGTACTTGTCCAGACCCTGCTGAAGCTTTGGCAATCCAAACCACTGGACTCTTAATTTAGACACCAGTTCAGTACTTGGTTGTTCAGTAGCTCAGTGACCTGCATGTTTTCTTAGAGGGGAAAAAAAAAAAGCACCAAATATTGTGGTTTTCTTTTTTATACTTCATCTTAGGCTAAAAATAATTTTGCCATTCTTATCTTTCTAGACAGTCACAAAACTCCATGTAAAACACCATTTCCAAAAAAATCTTTGCTTAGTAGTAACTGATATGTCAGTTTTGCGAGTGCTCGAGATTTATCACTCAGGACATGACAGAAAAAATCAAGTTGTAAACAGTGGCAAAGAATATTTCCCAAGCACGTCCATATCTCTCTTGAGAAATCATAAGTATCTGCCTTTTTTTTTGAGAGAGAGAGAGTTATGAGTTTGAACCAAATACTTAGGTCAAAAGCTTAAACATTAGTTAAAAAAAATGGGCTTTTTTTGGATTCAACATCAATTTTTGCAAGAATTTTGTAAGGCAAATAGATGGGTTTACGTCACTGGATTTCTTTCAGTATTGATTCTAATCCACCTCCACAGAGTCATACGTTACTCCTGGCAAAACATATTTAACACAAGCACAGTTTTTAGACTTGAGGAATACATATTTTTAAACTGATCTTCCACGA